AAAAAAGCAACAATTAGTTTTGCTCCCTACCTCCAGCAGAATTATCAATGCTCGGATGTGGTTTATTTTCCACATAAATACATCGAGTATTTACAACATGCCATGCCCACAGAAATTTCTCATGCTCAACTCTTGGGACAATAGTATGGATCTGAAAGCAGCGGTTCTCACTATAACATCTATGGAAATTACCACTGACTCGAAGATTTTTACCCACCCTTTTCCATATTTGCTGCAAATCCTTTTGTTGTGTGCACCAGAAGTCACGCACGGACAATGGCAAATCTTCAGCATTGATAGTTTCGCCGAGAAATGCAGGTGTAGTGAAGGTCTAAAAATGTTCTTAAAAATTTGCAATTTTTGGTGCGCAACTGGCACATGAGAACTGGACCAACACACACGCACACTCTAATGTACACTTTTCCGAACTGAGGGTCCCATATGCCAAATCATAAGATGTGACCGAACGCTTGAAAAATTGCCTCACTGATGAGAAACTATCTAGATGTGTTGGATGAATTGAAAACCATTAATTAGTATAAAAATTCAGCAGTACAACCAATTGTATAATAAATCGCATATAACGCAGTTCATCTTATATGAAGGTGCAGAAAATGTTTAGAAATTATATGTACATAAAGCGCTAAGATAGATGAACTTCGTTTTAACAAGTGCCAATTGATATTCTATTGCTAAGGCCATGTATTCCCTCTCTTTTCAAAAAGTGCGACTAGTTGCACAAAGTATAAACTTCACTACTATTGTTTACATTGTCAGTAGCTTAGAGATGCGAAACGGACCAGACCTCATATGTAATGATCACCTGTAGTACAACAAAACCATAGCACTTATGACATTTTATCGTCCATTTAATTGCTCTTCCAGACAAATGCGCCATTTTGTTTACATGAATACCAGCTGCTAGCTAAGTTTAACACATTCAAAGTGCAAGTCACACGGCAGCAGGTATCTTAATTCATTGTTGCTAAAAATAACAGACCCGCTTTTCAGCATGAACGGC